GGTCCCCCGGGGCGTGCGGGGCCGCCCTCTCACGTCCGTCTCTCAAGAACCGATGCAAACGCACCTCGGGTGCGGGTAAAACATCAGACTCTCCGCAAGTTCGGATCACGCAGCCTTGGGCGCCTGGGCGGTGGTTCCCGGACGGCGCGGGGAGGGCGGCTGCCCCGCGCTGCGGCGAGACCGCGAGCTCAGCATCCGAATCCCATTCTGACCAGCGGCGGGAAACAGAAATTACAAACAAAATTTCTTAAGAACAGAAACCTGTTAAACTTCACTTCATGCTCTCATATTCTGATCCCCTGAGCATCTGGGCTTGAATCTACAAAGCAGTAAAATTTGGGGTATTTTGATTTTTCAGAGGTGATAGTATAAACCATCAGGATCTGATGGTCCATAATAATAAAATTAAAAAGGACCCCTTACCCTTTGGGACAGTGTGGAGGGTCCTGGAGAGTATTATGCTGAGTGAGATAAGCCAGGCAGGGGAAGACAAACATGATCTCGATTATACGTGGAACCTAAAGAACTTAATAAACTGATGAACAGAATAGATTTAGAGACATAGCCCCAGGGAACAGACTGAGGGATCTCAGGGCAGGTGGGGGTGGGGGTGGGGAGAGATTAATCAAAGAATTTATATACATCATGCACAGCCCATGGACGCAGACGACAGTGTGGTGAAGGGGGTGGGGGGGGCAGTGTGGGATAGAAGAGGTCAATGTGGACATCTGTAATACTTTCAACAATAAACATAAATTTTAAAAAAATTACTGGACCAGTGAGTACCCTAAATCCATTACTGTTTCTGCAGAAAAATTAACCAGAGTTAGCAGGAAGAATAATGCTTCTTTTACTTTGACATTAGTACCTGTCAAAATACCTGAATGAATACTAGAAATAAGATTGTAAACCAAAGGTGGACTATTACAGCCATCACCTTGCCCTATCCTCACCCTGACATTGGCCTTGGCCCTAGGGCTGATGCTAAGCTTGAACCTCACCTTTAACCTCAGGGGTGATAGTATAAACCCTGACCCTTACCCCATCCCACTTGACTTGGATCCCAGCCATGATAGACACCTTTACCCTCCTAATAACCTGACCCACTGACATCAGCTCTCATTCTCATCCTCAGAGTGATCCTGATGCTGACCTAGACCCTGAACCTTACCTGACCCCAAATTTGACCCAGACTTTGACAACCTCAACCTGAATTTTATCTTGACCCTTACCCTGAAATTGACCAGCACTATAACCCTACACTAACCATGACACTAACTGGCCCTTAGCATGTCCCTGACCCTAACTGTGACCATGATCTTTATCTTCACCCTCATGTTGACCCTGACCAAGTCCCTCACTAACACCCTGAAGCCATCCTGACTCTGATTCTGAACCTGATCCTCACCTTGACCTTGATAATCAGCCTGACACTCTGACTTTTACCCTAAAGCTGATCGTGACACTACTACCACCAGGGCTCTGATTCTGACCTTAATTCTCAAGCTCCCCCGATAACGACCTTCATCCTGACACTGACCCTGTCCCTCAACCTTACCTTTACCCTGAACCTGCCTCTCACCCAGACCCTGATTGTGAACATGAAATATACTCTGAAGCCCACTATATCCCTCATTCTGACTCTAACCAGACCATGACACTCAACCTCAATCTGATCCTGTCACTAAAAATCTGACAGTTGTACTGACCCTCATCCATACCCTGACCTTGACCCCAAAGCTTACCTGTCTCAGACCCTCGCCTCCAACTTCACTGTACACCTGACCTATACCCTGACCCTTATCTGGACCGCAGTGTGAATATAAACCAATACAGCACTAATATTCAACTTTACTCTGACCTAGACCTTCACACTCACCCTTACACTGACCCTTAAACTGATTATTACTCTGAACCGCATGCTGACCCTAAGCAACCTGATCCTGACCCTGAGTTGGGCTCAAACCTTATTCTTACTCCATCCTTGAAGCTCATCTTCACCTCCCATGACCCTGACCCTCAAACTGATCTGACTCTGATATGACCCTGACACTGACTCTAAACTTACCACCCCTCAAAATTTGAACTGAATTTGGTCTTCGGTTTGACCCTGATACTCTGACAAAGTAATGACTCTGAAGTTGACTGACCCTGACACATATAAGTACCCTGATCCTAAACCTAACCTTGTGTCTGACTCAGATTCTGATCCTTAACCTCACATTGTACATGACTCTGAACTTCACCCTGCCCCTGAAATTTATAAGGACTCTGACCCTGACCCTCATCCTGACTATCCTCTTGATGCTAATCCTGACACTGACTGATTCTTAGCCTCACCCTGACCCTGACCTGCTTCCACACATTCACCTTAACCTGAACCCTCAAACCGACCTTGACTATTACACTGAAATTACTTTCAACCTGACACAGACCCTGATTGTGACTGCATTATGGCCTTCACCTTACTTTGATGCTAATTCTACCCTGACCCTCACTTTCACACTCACACTGAGCCTCTATGCCACCTGACCCTTAGTCAATGCTCACACTGACCTGTACTCTCACACTCACCATGACCCCCACACTGACCCTCAGTTTTATCTGCATGCTGATCATGATCATGACTCTGACCCTGAAGTATACCTTCACTCTCACTCTAATTCTGATGCTATTTCTATTCTATGCCTGAACCTCACTCTCACCTTGTGTCAATCACCATGACCATGACAATCACCATGACTTTGATCCCGATTCTCACTCAGACACTCTATCTCATTCTCACCCTCACACTCACCTTCACCTTCCAGTTCATCCTTACCCCGATCCTGTAGCTGAAGCTAACCCTACACCAGCACTCAACCTGATCTTCATCCTGGCCCTGAACTTCACCATAACTCTCATCATGACCATAAACTTGACCTTTACATGACCCTGACCCTAACTCTCCACTTACCCTTACTTGACCTTCTCCACTTAACCTTCTCCTTGACCTTGACCTCACCCTGACTCTATAATGGCTCTCACGCATACCTTCACTATGTATTTGAAATTGCCTTGAATCTGAAACTTATGGTTAACTTGAACCAGACTCTTAGCCTGACCCTGACACCAATCCCATCACCCTGGCCCAGGTTGGCACCCCTCCCTGATCCTGACCCTGACCCTCCTTCTGAGCATGATTATGAAGTTTTGCCTCACAAACCTGACTTTTCATCAGAATGGGGTCTGATACTGACCCCATTCTGATCCTCACAATGAGTCAACCTCACCTTAAGCATGACCTTTACATTCACCAAGACCCACTAATTCGCATGGATCATAACCCCAAACCTGACACTGATCTTCATCCTTAAGTGTACCCGATTCAGACCTAAATGAACCTGAAATCATACTCTGATTCACACCCTGTCTCTTACCATGTCCTGAACTTGACCCTGAACATGACCTTCACCCTTACACTTACTTTGACCCTGACCCACACTCCCAACCTAATCTGTCAACTTAACCGAAACCTCACTCTGACACTCAGACTGACCCTGACCATCATTATGTCCTTGAGCATAGCTCGGATCCTGGTTTTGAACCTTACCTCACCAAGAATCAACTCACATGGGCTCATACTCAGACTCGGACCCTGATCTTGTCTACGAACTTTTGCCTCACATATTCACACTGTGAAACTGACCATCCTCACCCTCACCCTAACACTGACCTGACTCTCATCATGAACTGACCTTGACCTGACTTTCACTATCACCCGGTCC